GAAACGATTGGGGTTACTAAGCACCGTATGAAGACAAGGTGCTTTTTCATCGCCACAGTTTATGCCCTCACTGAATGCAGCGCAGAGGGTATCATAGACAATTTCGATCGAGGTCTCTCATCTCTTCTTCACATGGCGAGGAATATTGACATTGTGATCCTTGCTAGTGAGATGAATGCCAAAAAGGGTCGTATTTCAAAATCTCAACAACACCTAGGAGGTCGCCTGGGGATCGATGCACGCCGAACAGACAATGGTGGTCGGTTCCTGCAATCGTGCGCCGATCACAACCTTTACCTTAGCAGCCCCGCTTTCCAGCACAAACGTTTACGACGCGTTACCTGACGCCCACCGAATTCAGCAAAAGCATGGATCCAAATTGATCATATTGCTTTCAGCTACAGGTGGCGCACCTTAGTCCAAGACTGTAGGGCAAGTTGGAGTACATGCCTAGATTCCGACCATGCCCTAGTGCGCGCTCATTCCTTCTACTTCAAAGAAGCGCTTATCTTCCAATCTTCTTACCTGTAGTTTGAACTCGAGGTCTGCGGTTCAAAACTCTCCATCGCAATGAGGCTGGACCTTACCGGGGTGCGATGGTTTGTGTGCCTCAGTGATCCATTGAGCTATACTGGGTGGTGCTTTTGCACCTTCAGAGCTACTCATACCAGATTGGTCAATGGTTAGAGGCCAGACAAACTCAGCCTCCTGGTCCTCCAGGTTGGGGGTTGGAATGAGGGTGGCTCCTTATTCCTTAAAACGGACTCCTTGTAGTCCAGTGCCAAATCCGCTGCCTTGCGGTCAGGTTTTTTAACCAAAGACTTTGTTTGAGAACCCTAATCGTTCTCCTGTCTAGGCCTGGGCAACCTGACAGTATCTCGCCCACGCAATACAATGAATCTTTCCCCAAACAAATTTCTGGTGCTCTGGCCACCGCAAAGGATAATCAACATGCACTTTGGGACTGTCTACTCAGGAAATGTGTACCTGAGAAATATGTGAATATTATCCGAGCATTATATGCGCGTAGCTCGGGCAGAGTGAGGGCTTACGGCAAGTTGTCGTCGCCCTTTAATATCTCCAGCGGTGTGAGACAAGGATGCCCGCTGTCACCTTTCCTCTTCAACTTCGCTGTTGACGAAGTCATGGAAATCGCGTTCACAGAACACGACTTAGAAGGTGTGGAGCTACTCCCAGGAGAACGACTTCTTGATTTAGAGTATGCTGATGATATTGCCCTGATCTGTGACAGCTCACAAACGTGCCAAGCGGCATTGGACAGATTAGCACTAGCTGTCCGTCACTTCGGACTTTGCTTCGCACCATCGAAGTGCAAAGCGTTTCTCCAGGATTGGTCTGGACCGCCTCCTACGCTCACTCTTGGTGGGGATCAGCTAGAAGTCGTTCAAAAATTCAACTACCTGGGAAGTTGTATCAGCGCCCGTGGGATTGAAGATGAAATCACGAATCGTATAGCAAAAGCTCGGGGCGCTTTTGCTAACCTTCGCCACTTATGGCGCCGGCGCGACATCACTCTCACCCTGAATGGTAGAGTGTACAATGCAGCAGTACGTTTGACCCTACTGTACGGTTGTGAAACCTGGCCGCTTAAAGCAGCGGACCTGAAGAGGCTAGTTACGTTCGACCACCGGTGCCTTCGTAATTTAGCTCACATTTGGTGGGAACACCGCGTGAGCAACGAGCGCGTTCGACGCCTTGTTTATGGCACAGGAAAAGGAAATGAACCGCTCAGCACCGTTATTTCACGCATCAGGCTCCGATGGCTCGGCCACGTGTTACGCATACCAGCCCACCGACTTCCGCGACGTGTGTTGTTTGCGCGCCGGGGGTGTGGATGGAAGAAGAGGAGGGGTGGCTAAGCGATGACTTGGTCCAGAGGAATGAAGGCCCTCACTTCTGAGCTGGCCTCGGTTGGAGCGTCTCGGCTCCCTGGTTGGGGTCCGAAAGACGATGAACACGTTTGGTTGGACACACTTGCTGACATGGCTAGGAGCCGACCTCAGTGGCGTACGCGCTGTGAGTTTCTTTGTCCCACCCCATCAATCTTAGCCTCCCCCTCCAACCACGATCTCATTATTTAGCGTTATATAATTTTGAATAATAATTTCTTTTTTGGTGCACAGCAGCCGGCTGGTAGCGTACCGGAACGATGCCCATCCGTTACCGGTAGCTCAGCCAGCTTGCCCCAGTTGCTTTTTTTTCTCCTTTTTTCTATGTATTGCGGCACAGTAGCTGAGGTGTTCCCCACCTCTAGCTAACGTGCATAATGATGATGATGGTTCAAAACTCTCATAAAGAACTGGCCCACAAATTGTCAGTGATGAATGAAGTTGGTGAGCCGAACGCTGACTAGATCGTCTCAGGTGTGCCATGAAGTAGCCTTTAACCCATGCCATGCACCCAACTTGAGACGTCACAGTGAATGGATCTCTGACGCATAGATCATCTTAATCAAGGAACAGAAATCGGTTCCGATCGGCACGGAATTTCAGCGTATCCGTAACTCCCTGAAACGATGTCTGACAAGAGGTCTCCGAATCGACCGTAAACGTTTGTGGACCGCAAGGATTCGTGATATGGAGAAAGGCATTGCCATCGGAAACAGCCGATTGCTATTCAAGAGGATCCGAAATAAGAGTCCTAGAAAGTCATTAGTTAGCGAGATAATGATTGAGAAAGATGGGCAATCGATCCATTCACAGCATCGTTGAAAAGCCCGTTGAGCGGAACATTTTGAGGAGCAAATGATGTCACAATTCTCACATTATTAGAGATTCGACATGAGCTTTCTGTGTTGAAACGAAACAAGGCTTCGATACCCGACAACTTTCCCCATCTTTGCTTAAAGACGGTGACACTGCTGACTGAGCATGCTTCGCTTTTTAACACGATTTGGTACAATGGAGAGGTGCCTTGAGACTGATGACTGTCAACTGTCGTACCCATCGTCAAGAAAGGTCAGCGCACTTTGTGCGAAAGTCATCGAGGTATTAGCCTTGTATCTGTTGGATCCAAACTTCTCACGAGTATCATTCTTCGACGACTTACTGGTCCCCGTTAGGACCGAATTACTGAAAGCCAGATCGGTTTCCGCCCTGGTCGTGGTGGCATCGGCAACCTATTCACTCTTCGCCAAATTTTAGAGCACAGACACACATACAGACGACCGACTATGGTAGTTTTCCTTGACTTGAAACTTATCTACAACTCTGTTGACCGCGCCAGTTTATGGTACTGCCTATCAATGAAGGGCGTGCCAGCTAAACTCCTTTCAATTTTAAAGTATCTGTACCGTGATTCCCGAGGTCGTGCAAGGGTTTACGGGAACTTTCTCCTGAGTTCCCCACGACAAGTGGGGTTCACCAGGTTTGTCCTATATCTCCTTCCCTCTTCAACTTTGTGATCGAAATGATCATGAATGACTCGGTTCTTTCAGACTATTCTGCAGTGGATGTTCCGCCAGGCGACCAATTGACAAAACTGGAGTATGCGGATAGTATTGTTCTCCTTGGGTCTAATGCATTGGCTATGCAAACACTGCTGGATAGACTGTTTCGTAGCGCTGCACGCTTCTGCATGTACTTTGCACCTTCAAAGTGCAGAGTGTTGTTGCAGGACTGGACCGACACATCTCCGGTTTTAGCTATCACTGAAGAGCCACTGGGAGTAGCGGATAGGTTCATTTATCTTGGTAGCTGTGTCACGTCTGGTGGCCAGATCACTGAGGAAGTTACTTCGCATATCAGCAAGGCCTGTGTGGATTTCCAGAGACCAAAACATCTATGGAGACGGCGGGATATCAGCTTGTTAGTGAAATGTCGGCCGGACTTACTGTATGGATCAGAGATGTGGCCAGTTCGCGATGAAGACATTAAACGCATAGCCGTGTTTGGCCACAAGTGCTTGCGGGGCACTGCACACTGGATGAGAAATACTGAGGTCCGCAAGGTAGTTTTTTGGCAAGAAGTCTTCTGTTGCTTCACTCCAGTGTTTATTGAATCTTAATCGCTTACGTTGGCTAGGTCATGTCCTTCGTATGCCCGTTGATCGGCTTCATCAGCGTGGATTATACGGCCTCGATTCACCTAGTTAAGGATAACGCGTGGTGGCTAGTCGGTGAAGCGGCATAGAGTAGTGATGTTCAAAGTCAGGCCCGCGTTAACATTTCAACTGGCCCGCGGCCTCATCATGAAATAATATATTCAGGCTTGGATATTTTCGTACATGTGTAATTTTTGTTATTATCCGAATGTCGACTGCATATGGCTCGACATAATTTTACCTCACAAAATGTGGCCCACCTTGAAAAAGTTTGGGCACCCCTGGCATAGAGGCATGAAGAAATTGACTGGGAAACTTGGTCACGCTGGTGCGTGCCGTCTTCGTGGTTGGGTACCTCCCGATGGTCCACACCAATGGCTGGAGACCGTACCAGACATGGCGCAGTCACGCAGTCGGTGGGATTCCCGCATACGGTTTTTTGCCTCTAGTTGTTAATTTTCGTTCCAATCTGATAAGCCTAACGCAACTCCTTCTGGCATTCTATTTGCCTTTAAACCCCACTGTTTTGCCGTTGTTATGTATTGGTACCATTGCGATGTGAGTCATGGCAACGGGATTATAGTCGTTCAAGTAAACTGGACTGAAATGAGCAAGTGAGTCGATCAGAAATGCGTGGGCCAGGTGGATAGCGTGGAATTGGCGCGTCCTAGCATAAACAGAGCGCAGCGTGTTGGAAACGGGCTGGATTAAGCGTAGTGGATGAAACGGACATGAAGACCTATGAACATAAGCAGACGGCAAAGGACGAGAAAAGGATGACCATCCGAGGAATGTACGTTACAAATAATATCGCTCAAAGTTTATCTAACGTATAAACGATTCCACGGTTCAAGAATAATGGATTTTAATCGCTGCCCATAGTTTATTTTTACTCTGGAAGGCGCACAATAGCGTCAAGAAATCAGTCGAGAACTTACGTATTGACATATCGTCGGGCACGTGAGTGCAATGACACCCAGTTCTCTGTGAGAAGTAGACTAAGCAGAACGAAGGTAAGTGCTACCAAGCGATGGAAACGAAAAGATTGGCAACGGACTGGTGTTGAACGCTCCACCGACTGTTGCAAGCACTCGGCTCTCACATGGCCTGTCGAAATTCCATCGACCGATAGAAGCAAATAGACCTAAAATAAGGATGCATGTGAAAACAAAGGCCGGAGACTCTACGGTAGCATACACAGAAAGGACCGTTTAACTGAGAGTGAAGATATAATTTTGCTAGTGTTTGAGTGGCGGGAATAGAGTACGACAGCCATGATAGTGATGTCAAAAGAATTCGCTGGCAACATAACATTAATGATGTTAACAGCATCATGGTCGGAAAACGATTCACTGCGCAGGCATACTTAGATTAGAACAATAAATCATACCAAGAGAGATTCTGCGATCACGTATGTGCAGACCAACCTTGTATAAAATTTGTGCTGCAAGAAGCAGGATGCCTAGCGCTTCGGAGAACAGAATGCCTATCCCAGCGGTCAGCAGAGTAACCCGTAGGGTATTTCTCCGAAAGCGTTCCAGTGATAATCTGAACGGCAAATGAAGTTAAGAGGCAAAATCAACTCGGTGTAAACAAAATTCAGCAAACATACTCGCAAGTAATTGCTATTTGGTGCTCGCGATTTAGGCTTCAACCTGCACCGTAAAATCTGTGTCCGATAATGGTAATGGAACCTATTCAAGCTGATACTTGACTGTTGTATAAGGAGCTTCAGTGATTAAAAAGCCACACTGTTTCGTGGTGTTTGTAACGGGTAACAGAAAAGGAATTTTTTTCACGCATCCACTCCAAAAATTATGAAGTGTTTCTTACTTCATGTTCATTAGATGAAACTAGACAGATCATCCTATTTAGTTACTTATAGCTTGAGGGTCTCTAGTGTAATTTACGTAGGATTCTTGGTAGCCAGCTAGTAGACGGAAATACTCACACCCACCCAAAACTATCATTTCGTTCTATTGGGACTAGTAAACCGTGCATATCGCCTAACGCCACGGGATGCCGTAGATATGGGGGCCAATCTTGTGCTCTGACAAATTCGTAACGTGCATGAAAATAGAGGAGAAGTGGAGCCACATCGTAGTTAGCATAACAGCCATAACTGTCTGCCGCCGTCACTTATGGACAAGTGGTATAAAGCGCTGTCCTCATGAGGTCACGCGTTCGGCTCCTGGTCCCATAGCTTTTACCGCTAGAGAGTTGTAGGATGGCTTCCAGCTTTGTCCCCAATTTAGAGTATCGCAAATACGTTGAGACAAAGCTCTTTTTCATGTACGCTAAACAAAGTATATTTCAAGAGGTTGCAGGGAGCAGTATCTCATAAGTCTCATCCCTGCTGTTAGACCATGTGCGCGTTTACGCACAACGATATCTTATGAACCCGCAATCTTCTACGAGTCAAGCATTTCCACGAAGTCTAACATATGGCTAAGACAATTTTGGTTAACGGACTCGGAGTGTCCTATGTACTCCGACGTTTGATGTTCAGAGATGCGACCGAATGCCTTCTTACTCACCACTTACGCTGCTTTCTTGTTATTCCCCATGCGATATTTCTGTGGACGAAGGTACATCCATATGAACCTTTGTTAACCATGTTTTAAGAGGCATTTTGATGTGCGTGATCAATTTCCTCCTAAGGTGACAAAAAGCTAATATTTTAGTTTCTGCATAATGACGTCCCAAAAATTGCATTTCATCTGTGAAGCGGGAACAGACGGATGCTTCATTTCACTGCATCTCAGTAAACTCCTGCGTTTACAAGCCAGTTGTGTTTGCTTGGCCGGGAAGCGAAAAGCGTCCATTTGGCGTGTGGCCGTTGTATGAGAACGGGCGGATTCATCACTGTGGATGACGTGTGGGACGACGTGTGAGGCGAAATTAAGAGAACAAATCCCCTTGAGCATTCGCTGGGTAACTCTCATAGCACACTGACGATTCGGAGCAGAACAAACATCGTTTCAACGGTGTATTTGATTTGCTCGAAAGTAAATCGCAATAACCTGCATCAATGCAGAGATCGGATTTAAACAAAATGTGATTGTGTTGAGTCATCTCATTAGTTCGCTCTACGGGTACTCGTTTCACTTTCGTGATCCAAATGAATGTCATTCCCATCCATTGTAAGTCGTGTTTTAGTGACGAACCGAGCAGACTGGATACGGAATGGGAAAAGGTGCAACAAAACAGCGAATCGCTTGCGTAGCTGACCAAACAAAGTGTTGACAAAACAGTTATCAGGTGATAAGAGTGTAAATGTAAGTTTCTCTCACCTGGAGTCTGCAGGGTAAATTAATTTGTGAACGTAAGAAAACGCACGCGTAGCCCAACAAGACAGTAAACACGCAAGATCGATAAGGCTGGGAGCCAAAGCAGCAACCGAGACGCTGATAAGAGGGAGAGCACAGTGTGAGAGTATCCAGAAATCCGCTGTCACCTGTGTACGTATGAATTCCTGTTGGCCGTAACGAAGCCCAAGTTGATCCAGTTTGTGAAAACGTGTCCAATCGGATGTACTGTGTGAGGAATAAGTGGAGAAATGCATGGTGGATGAACAGGGCACAAGTAGCTAATGCCAGTGGTATTGCTCGGGGCATAACTGTACTCAACGAATAAGCAACCGGATGCAGTGGTTTACAGGAAGGAATGCGTTAAACTATGTAGTACGGTAGCTACAAAACGAATGCATGCCTCTTCGTCCCTAAAAAGCTGCCTAACTATGAAATCAACAGGTTGTAACCCAGTAATGAGAATCCCTGTGCACCCTCGTGTATGACAACTTAGCAAAGCGAGCAAGTCAAAAATCATGACTCGCAATACGAGATGCTGTCGTAAGGATCAGCTTTTCGCCGTAGATTCGGAAGTGCACGAAGAAGTTGTGACAGAACAAAAGGATCTAAATTAGTCCAAGAAAGCAAAGGCCAATAAATGCATTGCGCGAGCTCCATCGGTTTGCAGATAGTCTGCACATTGCCCAAAGTATAGGTGCCGGACATCACAGACAGTCAGCTTTGGGAGAGTGAAGATCATGTGCAATGAGATCGAACTGCCGCAAAAGCAGGTTCCGATATTGGATCACTTTCCCGCGTACAAGACAAACATAGGTTTTGTTTGCGCTAGATTCGTAGACTCAAAGCAACATCCGAAAGACATTTCCCAGTCGAACAAGTGTGACTACTGCACTAATGGTACGGATGCACATTGAGTGGATGTGGATGGTACGAAAAGTCATAAATCTCTCGTATATGGACAGAAAGTAGCGGACAAGATTATGTAATCGACGGTAATCAGCTGTCCTCTCTTAGCGTCAGATTACGTAAACGATTGTAGCACCTATTGGACTTAATCGACCCAGTGCTAATCAGGTGGTGCGGGAGTGCGATGGGTAGAATTGGCACCAAACATACAGGCAAGTAGGCGGCCCCAACATGCGTATTCGCCCACTAGCGTCAGTAACGTGATTCTTGCGCAATGTTGGGGGTGCGGTGTCTATGAAGCCCAGGGTGACCTCTTTTCGGAGTCGGACTGTGTGCAGTAGCCATTCGCATCTAGATGTGACTGTCAAATAGAAAACATCCATTACTCCTCGGACTCGTGTTTTTACTGATAAGATGCGAATCTCCACATAACTTGCGGGTGCGATCCGAATAATGATATCCCAAAATGTGTTGTCGCAGAGCACCAAACATAACACGGTAAGTGAGATGTATTTCATAAAGTCATATCGTATTCGCATGTGGCTTGGAACCATCGACCAGTGTAGAAATTGAACGGCGAATAGGCCAGTCATTAAAACCAAAAGTGACTATAAAATGGGCATATAACGCGCGAACAAAGTAAGGTAACATGCATCCAATAACTCACGTCATGGGGAGGAAGTGGAAACTCAGCGAATGAAGTAAGGCTGCTCCCAAGTGCCACTGCCATTGATGATTAAGGCATGTGGGTTTTGACATTCTATGGAGAAAAGGGGACAGGTTCACCGGCTTCGAGTGACTATCCGCGGTACCGTGATCAGAAACGGAACCCAAACATTCCGTATCTGGTAAGGAAGAGCGACAGAAGGCCTTATCCCCTGTGTCATCTAAAATGGATGCGGTCGGTGAAATGCCAAAAAAGGGAAAATGTACATCGCTAATAGAAAAAACTGACAGCTACTCCATGCCACAACACAGGTCCAGAGAAAATGGTAATATCGCACTCGCACAAACCGCTGGCAAGTTTTGTCAGTAACCGGTAGTGTTTTAAGAATGAGAAACGTGGAATTTTAATCCAAAAGGGTGCAAAAAATCATCGATTCAACCTACAGTACGTCAAAATTCTATTAAGGGTAAAAGCCGGCCGGGTCTAATGAAGCCTAGCATTCAAAGTAGAACTCTATGAATAAGCACTTAGATCTCGATGCACTTACGAGGCTATGCGAACCAGGCGCTTGAAGTCGTACTGATGGTGTTGCCTAGTTGGGCAAAGTAACGCCTGCAAACTAATCATGAACCTCGAAGAACAATGTCAAAGCAGCATCTAAGGATATTCTCGACTATTTGAAATTAAATAGCTAAGTCGGTTTCTTAGTCCAATCCTTGCACGAATCCCGTAGCAACTGCCGTAAGGACTCGATTTTCATCGTGTCAGCAAGATTCAATCGGGTATCCAAATAGAATATGCAACTTGTATGATCACAGATATTGGTAGAGGAATCAAAACAGCTTTGAATGAGTAATGCCTAACGTCAGCCTGGAGCGTGTACACCATGGAGATGGTAAGTAGGGGTGAATACGCTCTGTGAACTTCACAAAAGGGAAAATTTCAACGGGGTGATGTGTTCGAACACCGATGACGTTTATGTGGAAAGTAATACAACCATGTTGCGTGTGCTGGCACGGAAAATGCATAAAACCAAGATGCCTACGTCCAGAGCACGGGCCCCCAGTGTATGGCATCAGAAGACACATGAATGGGTTGTTCTCTCCCCTTACATATAGACTTTGTTCACGAAGACTGAGTCGATGAGGTGCGGTTTAAATAACAAAATATAAAGTAAGTTGTTTCGGGAACTAAGCGTTAATTCTGGCGTAGACAGCCAAAAAGTATGCGTCTTGCTATCATTCAGTTACACAAACATCTGTTGCTCCTTTGTATAGCAGTAAGATCACTGAAGATGAAACTGGTAGACGAAGGGGAAGGCCTAGATACAAAATGTGACCGATAAGCATAACAAAGGGCACAGATGCAGTGCATAGAGCAAGACATAAAGTGACAACGATAGAGGCTAATTGGGTAATTCAGGGGGACGAAGAGTGCGGCCTCACAAGTGTTCAGTTCAATTGAACAACTATGATCCGAGCACCGAAGTGTGGTGGATCTAGTTGCCACGACTCACATCGCAAGAGTAAAAATAAATAAGGCAAAGTAGTGGGTTTGGGTGCGAATATGATGTAGAGAAAATAGAAGCAAGAAAGAAATGCGTTAAACTAATCAGAATGGAGCGAAGATTAACAACCAGATGAAAGAAACTGAATGCAGAAATTCCACTGACTTCGTGACTGCGGCATGTCTGCCACGGTCTCCAAGCATTGGTGTAGAACGTCCCGGGGACCACATCCAGAAAGACGTCCCACACCAACCTGACCAACTCTCTCAGTCAATTTCTTGAAGCTTCTATGCCATGTCATGAACTGGACACTTGGTGGTTTCGTCCAACTTGGTACGGCCAGGGCGTAAAATGCACGCCGAGGAAGCCGATAAACTGGCAAACGGAGGACGTGTTCATGCCAACGCAAGAGACTAAGATATAGCAAACACTCGAGTGAAGCAACAGAAGACTTGTTGCGAAAAACCCTCAGCACTGACGACCAAACACGGCTAAGCGTTTAATGTCTTCATCGCGAACTGGCAATATCTCTGATCCAAACAGTAATTCCGGCCGACATTTCACTAACAAGCTGACATCCCGCCGTCTCCATAGATGCTTTGGTCTCTGGAAATCCACACGGGCCTTGCTGATATGCGAAGTGACTTCCTCAGTGATCTGACCACCAGACGTGACACAGCTACCAAGATAAGTGAACCTATCCGCCACTTCCAGTGGCTCTTCGGTGATAGCTAAAACCGGAGGTGTGTCGGTCCAGTCCTGCAACAGCACTCTGCACTTTGAAGGTGCAAAGTACATGCCGAAGCGTGCAGCGCTACGAAACAGTCTATCTAGCAGTGTTTGCATAGCCAATGCATTAGACCCAAGGAGAACAATACTATCCGCATACCCCAGTTTTGTCAATTGGTCGTCTGGCGAAACTTGCACTACAGACTAGTCTGAAAGAACCGAGTCATTCATGATCATTTCGATCACAAAGTTGAAGAGGAAAGGAGATATAGGACAAACCTGGTGAACCCCACTTGTCGTGGGGAACTCAGGAGTAAGTTCCCGTAAACCCTTGCACGACCTCGGGAATCACGGGAGAGATACTTTAAAATTGAAAGGAGTTTAGCTGGCACGCCCTTCATTGATAGGCAGTACCATAAACTGGCGTGGTCAACAGAGTTGTAGATAAGTTTCAAGTCAAGGAAAACTACCATAGTCGGTCGTCTGTATGTGTGTCTCTGCTCTAAATTTTGGCGAAGAGTGAATACGTTGCCGATACCACCACGATCAGGGCGGAAACTGATCTGGCTTTCAGTAATTCGGTCCTAACGGGGACCAGAAAGTCGTCGAAGAATGATACTCGTGAGAAGTTTGGATAAAACAGATACAAGGCTAATACCTCGATGACTTTCGCACAAAGTGCGCTGACCTTTCTTGACGATGGGTACGACAGTTGACAGTCATCAGTCTCAAGGCACCTCTCCAGTGTACCAAATCGTGTTAAAAAGCGAAGCATGCTCAGTCAGCAAAATGTCACCGTCTTCAAGCAAAGGTGGGGAAAGTCGTCGGGTACCGAAGCCTTGTTTCGTTTCAACACGGAAGCTTAGATCGAATCTCTTTCAAAGTGGAAGGTGTGATATCAACTTTCCACGTAGGTTTCGGTGATTCGGCAAGCGGCAGTGTCGACGCAGACCTGTTGAACTGCTCCTCAAAATGTTCCGCCCAACTGGCTATGCAACGATGCTGAGAATGGATCAGTAGTCCATCTTTCTCAGCTATCATCGCGCTAACTGATGGTTTCCTCGGACCTGTGCTTGGATGGGTTGGAATAGCACTCGGCTGCTTCCCATAACCATGGCTCTCCCCATCTCACAGGCCTTTGCAACTCACCAACCATCCCAGTCGATTCGAAGACTCCTTATCAGACATCGCTCCAGGGAGTTACGGATACGCTGAAATTCCGTGCCGATCGGAACATGTTTCCGTGCTTTCACTAAGCTGATCGATGACTCAGAGATCCATTCGCAGTTATGACATCTCAAGCTACGTGCACAGCAGGCGTAAAACATATACTTTATGGCTTACCTGAGACGATCTAGTCAGCATTCGGCTCACCAACCTCATTCATCACAGATATTTTGTGGGCCAGTTAGTTTTGATAACGTTGAACCGCAGACTGCGAGTTCAGGTTACAGATAAGAAGATTGGAAGATAAGCG